GCATCCCAAGGATCAGGAATCACCATCAAAATTACATGTTGACTCCCAGTAACCTGATGGCTAGACACTGAAAAGGGGGCTTCAGCTGCCACTCCCAAATCAACTGCCTCTCCGCATCTGTATACACACTGGACGTTGAAATTCCGTTCAAATAAAAAAATCTCCATGAAGACATCTGACAGTAGAAAAGGTCAAAAAAAAAAAAAACACCCACAACAAAAACCAGTCTTAATGCCTTCCACTTCATTTGAGTTGTCCATATTTCACATAAGTGTGTCTATTCTGTAGAACTGAATCCACATCCAGGACCCAAACTGCATAGGAGTCTGGGAAAGTATTCCTTTCTTCTTTCCAGCCTATAAACTACAGGAAGTTACCCTATAACAAGGTCAGAATGGAATCTGAATGCCAATTGATTATTTCTTTAACATTTACTGATAAAACTATTGAATAATAACTTTTCTATTTCCCTCAGTTGGCATGTCTGATTGACAGTAATTTTTCATAAGGTCAAGGAAGAGGAACACCAGTGCTAAGATATTTAGTACAGCCCGGATTTTTCAGGGCATACAGATTGGTGCTAAAGATCACAAAATCCAAGAGCACTCAAGGGAAATATGGGGAAGAAGTTACCAGAAAAAGGGTAAAGATTTCAATGGCCAAGCTAATCACCTTGCTCTGAGGTTGCTGACTATAAGCACATGAAAAGATGCTCAACGTGCGTTAGTCATTAGGGAAATGCAAGTCAAAACCACAATGAGATATCACTTCACATCCACCTAGTATGACTGAAATAAAAAGGACGGACAATAGCAATGGTTGGTGAGAATGTAGAGAAATTGGAACCCTAATACGTGGCTGGTAGGAATATGAAATGGTGCACGCATGTTGGAACACACTTTTCAGTTTCTCAGAAAGTAAACATAGATTTGCCACATGACCCAGCCATTCTACTCTTAGGTGCACACTCAGAGGAATTGAAAACATAAGTCCGCACAAAAACGCCTCTTTCTGGTCTCCCTGTTTCAGCTGAGGGAAGTCAGATGTGTTCAACGCCAGCATCCTTTCTGTGACTAGTAGTTGTGAACACGGCAGATTCTCTTTGGTAATGCACCTTTAGGTTTGCCTTCAGATCTAAAAGGGTCACCAGCAGCTTAAATTAATTGCAGAGATAGATGAAAACTTGTTTAGAGCCCTCTAAGTTTCTTCTGCCTCTTAGAATCTTAGAAACATTAAAAATACTATTGTCAAAAAATAAGGACATGGGGGAGCATATAGCTCAAGTGGTAGAGCCCATGCCTAACATGCATAAGGTCCTGGCTTCAATCCCCAGAACCTCCTCTAAACAGTGAACAAATAAATGAAGCTAATTACCTCCTACCCCTCAACACACACGAAAAATAAGGACCATGTAATTTTGACTCCTCATTACCTCTGCTGTGGCCAAAATTTACTGGCGGCCAAAAAACCCTCCCCAAAGCAGTCTGTTTCTCAGAGTCAACCTGTCTGAAAATGTTTCATAGCTCTTATATTTTTCTAAATGAATAATTATTGAGCATCCTTCATGGACTCAGACTCTCCCAGGCTTCAGCAATGGAAACTACAGATGTGAGTCATTTCAAGCAGCACGCCACACCTTGGTACTTGAGGGTTCCATTTGTTTGATGATCTGAACGGGACGTCTGTTCTCTCCGGATCTCCTTTCCAATAGTCCCTCTAGGGTCCTTGACTCGGGAGGAGGGCTTTCGCAGATAATCAGAGCTAGGGCAGTTGCAACCCTGGACTCCTGCTCTCATCTCCTTATCCAGAACTCTCCTTTCATTCTCTTGACATCTGTTGTCCTACAGCGGGTGGGGCACTGGCAGTCTCACCCCGCCGTTCATCTCGAGCTCTCTTCTGTCGTTTGAACTGGCAAGAAAATACCCTCTGCTTCCCATGATCAGCTCTCACAGGAGCGAGCCCCCGGGCAGAGTTCTAAGGCAGATGACAGAGCTCATGGACCCGAGGGAGGCTGAGAAGTCAGAGTACTGGACACAGCACCCACTATCCCCGTGCTCATGACCCCTCTGATACCCTGAACCTGCTCTCAGACTGGCCCAGACAGCGCCCCTTCTACACTCATCCTGACCCGCAGGAAATCTTCCTCCACAGACAGTGCAGTACATGTTTGAATGCTGTCTGGGGCTGGACTGAAGTTCCTCCCACAGGCCCCAAGCAGACTAGGAGATGGGGCTGGTTCCCACCCAACCAGAATAGTTACCACTGTGTTCAAATTTCCAAACTTCTTTGTTTCTGGATACATCCCATCATCCCCACCCTTAATCCCTAAGTTCAAACTTCTGTTCCTTTTAGGTGCCTCATTTAAATAAGGTTAATATGATGTTGACATTAAGGTATTCACACGAAAGCAGAAATTATTTCTCACTCTCTGCATTTTGGTGTGTAGAGTGAGTAGGATGTGCTTTTAACTGGGATCAGTGTGGGGCGGGGTGATGAAGAGATTCCTGGAGCCCCTTATCTATTTAGGGTACTTGCCTTCTTCTTGCTTGGAACCCGTTTTTAGAAAGCAGGTGGTCAGAAACTCGTTCCCTCACTTACTGTTAAACCTATTCAAAATTACTCAAAGTGCCGGCCTCCCATTCTGTTCTCCAATATCAGTTGACAGAACCAGAAATCAAGATCAGTCCTTCTTCCACCACCTACTTCCCATCAATTACCGAGACCAGACTAGCCCTTCCTAGTGCTTCAAAGGCACTCTCTCCCCCATTCCCCTGCCCTTGCCTCCATTCAGGCACAGGTCACGTTACCTGGATGTGCAGGGACCTTCTAACTGAGCTCCCTGTCTCCAGCCTCTCCACTCCATTGCCCAACCACCTCATCCATCGGGCACCTGTGTCATCTTTATAAAACATGAACACAACCTTCCCCAGGCTTCATCCCTCCTCCACCCACCCCCAGTCGGCGGCACCTGATCACTTGCGAGGCAGCGTCTAAACTCCCTGCCAGGGCATCAGAGTCCTTGTCTGCTGCTCTAGTCTCATCTCTTGATCCTCGCTTGACTCATACGCACACAGGCTTTAGCAACACCGAACGTTTTACGTTTCCCTGAACTTGCTGTCTGTTTCAATGCCCTGGTTCCCTCTGTCCCCCTGCCTAGACTGCCACTGTTCCCATCACGTACCATAATCCTGAGCCTCCTTCCGCACCCAGCTCCAGACCTGCTTCCCCTGTGAAGCCCTCACTGACGTCCCAGCAGCATCAGCAACAGCCTCCCTCGTGCTGCTACCACTTCTACTGACGTCATTGTCTCTAAGCCTCAGTTTCCTCAACTGAGAACCACAGAAAATAACAGTTCATGCTTCACTGGATTGTTATGAGGATTAAAATAGGTAATACAGGTAAAGCTTTTACCACAGTGCCTGACACACAGTAAGCATGCGTAGTAAGCACAATTAGTAGTGGTATGCTATTAGAGCACTTGCAAACTCATGCTCACTTTTAGCTTACCTGTCTCTACACTACTGGAATGTCTCCTTCTTTAGCATGAAGGTTGTGTCTTTATCCAGCTGTGAATGACCAGGGCTGGGTGCACTGCCTGACATAGTGTAGATCATTTGCTAAATGGCTCTTGAATGACAGAGTCTATAAGAAAAGGACAGCCACACTATTTTTCTGATATTAATTCCAACTTCTTATCCTTAATGACAAATAAATTAAATTTTATGTATATTTAGCTCTGTCTTGATTTCATTTATAGCTTCTTCTTTTAAAAAAAAAGCTCCTTGGATTCAAAAATAATCAGCTAACACATGTGGATTTTATTTTTCCCTCGGAAGCGAAGTGATTCTGATTCTTTAGTAGATCCACTTTTCCCCTTCCATCTGTGACAAAATAAGACCATATTTTTATTCTTAAAATACATGTCGTGGTTGAAATTATATATCTATCTATATACAACTTATTTAAATATAAACATATTTTATATAAATAAAGACACATAGATTGCATAATTTATTTAAATACAAATATATGAATAATACATACTTATATATAATATTTATATTATAATTATATTATAAACAATATTTATGTTATATATTTATATTATAAATATCATTTATATTGTATTATATTTATACATTTAAATAAATATATAACTATTGAAATATGAAAATATGTATGTATACAGTATCCAAAGCTGACAGGTAAATGTTGAAGCTCCTGGTTCTGAGATTTATGATTCCCCTCCTCTAAGAAAATTCTGTCTGTTACACTTTGAAAGAAATAATGTTAACTTTAACTTTTGAGAAGGATATAAACTAGTCAGCTGAATTCTCAATAATTATAAACTTCCAGAAGAATTGGCAAACTTGTGACCTTATCATACATTCATGTTTTTCCAAAATGTAGTAAACTTTGTTCTAAACCTTATGAGATGCTTCTTTTGGGAAAATCAGCAGGCTCAGTGGGTTGGAGATGGCATCAAAGGTGGCCTTGGCGACTTTGCCCGGGGTGGCAGCAGAGCAGATCTTAAATTAAGTCTTCTCATCAGACACACACACAAATAAAATGGTGACTACATGGAGGTGATGAATACATTCATTAACTTTATTGGAGTGATCATTTCATAATGTATGTACATTAAAACATTGAGTTGTACATTTTAAACATACACAACATTTACATGTCAATTTTGCCTCACTGGAGGTATTTTTTTTAAAAAAAGAACTAATGTGATTCCCAGGAAATAGGAAGAGAGACATAAGTTCTACATGCTATGTAATTTCTCAATCTAATACACAAGAGCAATAATCAATAATATCAACTTAGAATTATCAATTTATACTAAAGAATTGCTAGGAAAAGAGGGAATAATTGTTACAGAATAAAATTCAAGTTATCAATATTTGCTAAGCATTTTTTCCATGCTGGGCTCAAGATTAGAGGTGTAGGATCTGGAGTTTGTGAATATATGTGTCTACTATAAAGATGAGCAAATGTCATTGAGACAGGACTATTGCCCTGTTGAAGAGTTTCTCCAGGGCCCCCTTCATGTCCCTGTTCCTTAGGCTGTAAATGAAAGGATTCAGCAGTGGTGTCACCACTGTATACATCACAGAGGCAATTATGTTCTTGTCGCTGGCCTTGCTGGATGATGGGAAAAAATACAGGGCAATAATTGTTCCGTAATACAGAGCTACCACAGAGAGGTGGGAGCCACATGTGGACAAGGCTTTGCAGATGCCCTTGGTGGATGGAACCTTCAGGATGGTGGCCCCAATGTGGCCATAAGAGATCAAGATGCATGTAAGTGGGAGGATAATGACTGCCATTCCTACTGTGAAGATGGCCAGCTCATTGAGGGATGTGTCTGAGCAGGAGAGTTTGAGCAGGGCACCAAAATCACAGAAGAAATGGGGGATGGCATTGTCAGCACAAAAGGACAGCTGGGTCAGGAGGAGGGTGTGACAAAGGGCACTGGCACAGGACACAATCCAAGATACTGGGACTAGTAAGGTGCACAGTCCCTCTCTCATGATGGTGGTATAGTGCAGAGGGTGACAGATGGCCACGTACCGATCATATGCCATTGAGGTGAGAAGAAAATTGTCCAGAACAGTAAAAAATATGAAGAAATACATCTGTGCTATGCATTCTGCATAGAGGATGGATTGATCCTGAGTTTGCATGCTCGTTAACATCCTAGGGACGGTGACAGATGAGAAAGAGATGTCGGTGAGGGCCAAGTGGCTGAGGAAGAAGTACATGGGGGTGTGGAGGCGACAGTCCAGCCTGATGAGCAGGATGATGAGCAGGTTCCCCAGCACCGTGGTCAGGTACACGCCCAGGAACAGGGCGAAGACCACGCCCCGCTGCTCTGGCCGGATGGGGAGCCCCCAGGAGGAGGAACTGGGACACACTGCTCTGGTTCTCCCTCCTCATGCTCCTCTCCTGTCTGCTGGGATGAAAGGACAGGGGAAGAAGCAGAAACCAACAAATTTTGATTTACAGCAGGCAGATAAAAATTAGTTCCTTCCTACTGGTGAATATGCCAATATTCTGCATTGCCATGTCCCTGCAAAAATCCTTTAAAGTGGATGGTATTATCATGTAAAATGAGAGAACATGCCAACAGAGAAGAGAGTTAGATATAGAAGAGACACTGGCCCAGTGGCATTTTTCCATCATCTAAGGGAGAGGCAGCCTCTAAGTCGTAGTTTGCAGCTGTGTCTAGTCTGTAAAGAGAAAGTGTCACAGTATCTTAGCAGAGGCAGAGTAAGCCAAAATCCCCCTAATTTCTATTCCGTTTCTGTATATTTAAAATCAGTCATGTTTGACCTTCAAGTTGTAACATATAAAGCTTTTGAAATCTGACTTTAAAATCCAGTCATTAGTAAAGTGTATGGAAATTTCAACAACATAGACTCAAAGGAAAGAGGATCAAAAATAAATAGCCAACGTTTCCATTATGTATAAAGGTTGAAGAGAGAAGAAACATACCTGTTGATTGAACTCAAAGTTTCTCTGAGCTCAGTCTCACAATATCAACACTTCAAAATATTACTGGTGTATAAATATATATATATTTACTAGTACTTAATGTCATGTAATTCTCCAAACTCCTGATTCAGCAAGCTCCCATGACTCCATGAAAATCCATAATCCATATTAGAGATACAGATTTTCGAGAGAAGCATTAGAGGCCTGGTTAACACTGCATTCACTAAAGGAGCACACATCCTGACATCTAGAATGTGATGAAGTGATGAGCTCCCAGCCTGGATTTGGAGATGTGCCCACTAATATACACGGCCTGCTGGCTCTGTTCCCCATCTCCCCCAAGGCTTGGGTTTAAAGGCATGAGGCTCTCTCACTTGTGGTGATCGTGGTATCCTTGTCTTTGATAATTAGTAATAGGAAGTGACTTAAGCAAGAGCACAGAGAAGTGATGAGCACCTGTGTACACACACACACACACACACACCCCTGCTGTTGGCTATTGGTGAAGGATAACCAGTTCTACTCTGAATTTTATGCTCAAGTCATCTAAATGCCAGAAGTATGTACTAGTTTCTCACC